CAGCCGGGTGTGGTAGTGCATGCCTGTAATTCCGGCTACTTGGAAGGCTGAGGCGGAAGGGTCGCCGGAGCCCAGCAGGTCGAGGTTCCAGTGGCCGGGAACGGCCACTGCACTCCAGTCTGGGTGACAGAGTGAGACTCCAACTCAAAAAACAACAGCAACAACAAAAAAACACATGACTGAGCCGGGCTCAATGGCTCACACCTGTAATCCCAGCACTTTCGGAGGTGGAGATGAGAGGATTGCCTGAGCTCAGGAGTTTGAGACCAGCCTGAGTAACATGGTGAGACCTCATCTCTACCATAAATCAAAAAATTAGCTGGGTGGGGTGGCGTACGCCTGTGGTTCCATCTACTTGGAAGGCTGAGGCAGAAGGATCACCTGGGCCCAGCGGTTCGAGGCTGCAGTGGCTGTGAGTATGCCACTGCACTCCAGCCTGGGTGAGAGAGTGAGATTCTGACTCAAAAAATAAATAAGCAAATAAACGAACAAAAAAATCTCGTGACCACATACCTGCAGCCCACCGCTCTCAGTTCATGGCTTGCTTGGTCACGATCGTAAACAGGATATAAAGCTTCTTGGCAAGGGCAAGCACATGCCCTCTCTTCAGGGACCCCTGCTCTCTTGGGCATGTCACTTTTTCGCCAATAAATTCTGTCTTAAACTATACTTTGGGTTCACTCTGAAATTCTTATTTGTGGTGGTCAAAAGAACCCATGGAACATCACACCACACTCCACCTGGCACTTGGGAGGCTGAGGTGGAAGGATCACCTGAGCCCCGGAGGTCAAGGCTGTGGTGAGCCGTGATCATGTCACTGCATTCCAGCCTGGGTGAGACCTCGACTCAAAAAAAAAAAAAAAAAAAAGAAGAAGAAGAAGAAAACATACCAATTCTTCACAAACTTTTCCAAAAAGCAGAAGAGGAGGGAACACTTCCCAGCTTATTCTACAAGGCCAAAATTACCCAGACCCCTTAGCATACCAGATAGGTTTCCCCGGCTGCCTCTCCCGAGATGGGCTCTGCAGTTGCCTCATCGTCCCTTTATGGCTGGCTCCTTACCTGATGTTCCCTGACTCTGCTTGAACCATAGATTTGTTTTTAGAGGGCTTATTTGGAACTAATTTTAGACTTACGCGACTATGACAGCAGGAGGCCCGGCTGGGGTGTCAGCAAAACCCGCCTCACCAACGCCTGGAGTTGATTGGCTGAGGGAGGCTCGGCCCGCTTGGTCCTCAGTGGCCAAGCCCAGGCTGAGATGCGTGTGTGGGCTCTGACCTGGGGCAGCAGGGTCGACACCATCAAGTGCCCGGGTCCCTCCTTACCTATCTGGCCATTGTAGCAGCCCCCTAGGAGTATGTGGGAGTCTTTGGGGTTGTACTCCAAGGTGATGAGTGGGGAAGACGGCTTCAGAGCAAGCTCAGCCTTGGAGTTTTCTATAAAGCAGAACAAAGTTATCTCACCAGGCCTGGAAAGAAAAGGACAAGGTCAGCCAGTTCAACCCTTTCTGCCTGGAGGTGGGGGCAAGGAGAAGGACTCTCTGGTCTTTCTCCAGGCTGCGACCCCTGGTTCGCCTGGGCTGGAATCTGGCATTCTTGGCCCTAGGGACTCTGCTGATGATCCCCAGGGCATTTTTGGAGATCAGGACTGGCAGGTGGTATGTGTGTGTGATTAACTCTATTTCTAGTCCATTCCCCAGCTGTGGAATGAATAAGCTTGCAACCCTAAGGTTTATACATAAACCAGGTCTGGGGACTGGAGACCACACTGGAGTCCACCCCACGAGACTGCTGTAAGCGCTCCCTGAGCTGCCCAGGTATGGCAAGTGTTAGCTCCATGCCTCACACACACATATTTATTTTAATAACAACAACAACAACAAAAGCTGGGTGTGGTGTCTCACTTCGGAAATCCCAACATTTTAGGAGGTTGACGTGGGAGGATAGCTTGAGACCAGGAGTTCAAGACCAGCCTGGGCAACATAGCAAGACCTCATCTCTGTGGGAGGAAAAAAAGAAAAAAAAAAAAAAAAAATATATATATATATATATATATATAAAATACATATATGTACATGGTGACAATGAAGGGAAGCCTGAGACCATGAAGCCCACCACCATCTGCTCCCTATCAGCCTTTTGTCCTTGAGCCCTGCTCTAGACAGTGGTCTGTGCTCTCCAGTAGACACACTGCCCCTGCCGGCCAGGAATTAGGGGCCAGTGTCAGAAAAGATGGAACAAAGGTATGAGTCTCCTCCCCCTCCCCCTTGGGCTCCTTCTCAGTCTGCTGGGCACCTTTTCTGAAATGCTCTTTAGGGACCGAGAATTGGGTCCCATGGGGTCAGGTCTTAATGCCCCAGGTTAAGGAGCCAGGGGTTTCCTGCTTCTGGTCTGGCTCTGTCTCTGTGCCTCGACCCAGAGAGGCAAGGGACGAGACTAGCGGCTTTCTCTTTGGCCCCGGCCCCTCCCTGTGAGGGACCAGCCCTGTGAGTGTCCTCAGCCTCCTGCACCTCCTTCCCATTTTTCTTTCATTGGCCTCAGCCCTGCCGTCGGGTTCCCTGGCCACGGGACCCCACTGCTTCTCACCCAGGTCCCAGATGTATGAATCGTTGCTCATGTCCACAGGTGCCCGCTGAAAATTCAAGCAGGAGTATGCCACTGCCAACTTCCTATGGCCATCAGGGTGCCAGGAGAGGTGTGTGGCTGACCGCTTGATTTCCTGGGGGTCCCTGCAGGAGAGAGTCGGGGGGTAGAAAAGCGGATATGAGGCTCTCCAGTTTCTTTTTTCTCTCAAACATCTTTGAGTCAGCCCAATTTCTTTTTTCCTTCTTTCTTTTTTTTTTTTGAGTCAGAGTCTCACTCTGTCGTCCGGGCTGGAGTGCAGTGACACACTTGGCCTTTTGGGCTCAGGCGATCCTTCTGCCTCAGCCTTCCAAGTAGCTGGAGCTACAGGTGTGCTGTACCATGGCCGGCTAATTTTTTTATTTGTTGTAGAGACGAGGTCTCGCCAAGTTGCCCAGACTGGTCTCAAACCCGTGGGCTCAGGCAGTCCTCTCGCTTCCGCCTCCCAAAGTGCTAGGATTACAGGCATGAGCTACCATGCCTCCTGCGCCAATCCAATTTCTTAACTCAAATTTTTCTTTAAACCATTCAAATCTACTTAAGAAATCCATTCAGGCCCAGCTTGGTGGCTCAGCCTGTAATCCCAGCACTGTGGGAGGCCAAG